CCCTAGCCAGCTCCAGAGACAAGAGGTGCAAAGCTGAACTCAACACCTAGCCTTGGACAGAGCTGCTCTATGGGACCTATAAACGTGTAAGCAAAAGGTAACTGCTGCCCTGACCAGTTTGGCTCAGTGGTAGAGCGTCGGCCCTCAGACCAATGAGTTCCGGGTTCAATTCCAGTCAGGGCATGTGTCTTGGTTGCGGTTCGTCCCTGGCCCTGGTCAGGGTTGTACAAGAGGAAACCAGTGAATGTGTCTCTCTCACATTGATGTTTCGCTCTCTCTCCCTCCCACTCACGCTGATTAATGCCCTGGCCAGTGTGGCTCAGTTGACTGAGCATTGTCCCATGCACCAAAAGATGCCCAGTTCCATTCCCAGTCAGGGCACATGCCCAGGTTTCAGGTTTGATCCCCTGTTGGGTGTCTGTGGGAGGCAACCGATTGATGTTTCTCTCTCACATCAATGTTTCTCTCTCTCAAATCAATAAAAAATATATATTTTTAAAAAGCTGATTAATACAAGGGTTCCTAGAAGCCCTTCAATAAATATAATTAGCACCCGAGGACATCTTTGCAATTATCTTCAGATAGAGCAGAAGGGAGAGAGGGAGAAAGGGAGGGAAGAGAGAAACATCGATATGACACAGAAAAGAAAAGTATTCGTATTTAATTTTGGAAAGAGGCATTTCTTGTGGTGGGATTTGTTACCTAATCAATAGAGTCATTCACTTCCTAAATTTCGGGGAAGTATACCAAAAAGCCTTCCTAACATTTATCAGGTTACTATTAATTACACCTCCTACTTTTTCTCTTGAGGGCACCAGTTTAATCTGACATACTTAGAAGGGCATTTTTTAAGGGAAAAGCAAAACATTATTAGTTTCAACACACTTTTGCCTCTCTCTCTACACACACACCTACCACGAACATAGTTATAACTTCGATCTTACACACCTTAAATATTTTTCCCACAAAACCTTGGAACTGTGGATTAGCTCTTTTGTTTATGAAAAATTTACACCATATACCTAATCGGCAATGTGGGGCGTCACTGTCATCCCAATCAGCCGTGTTAGACTTAATTTCTGTTAAAAAGAGACTGGCTTGGCCCAACCAGTGTGGCTCAGTGGTTGAGTGTTGACCTGTGTGCACCAAGAGGTCGCCGCTTCGATTCCCAGTCAGGGCACATGCCCAGGTTGTGGGCCAGGTCCCCAGTGAGGGGCATGCAGGAGGCGGCCAATAGATGTTCTGTCTCATCGATGTTTCTATCTCTCTCGCCTTCTCCCTTCCTCGCTCTATAAAAATTGATAAAGAAAAAAAAGAAAAAGGAGACTGGCTTGCTCTGGCTGGTGTGGCTCAGTGGGTAGAGTGTTGGCCTGCACACCAAAGGGTCTCAGGTTCGATTCCCATGCAAGGGCACATACCTGGGTTGCGGGTTTGATTCCAAGCCCCTGTTGGGGTGCATGTAGGAAGCAACTAATTGATGGGTCCATTGACTTCTCAGAGAGAGTGGAAGGGAGGGAGGGGCCGAGAGACAGAGAAACATCGATGTGAGAGAGACACATTGACTGGTTGCCTCCAGCACGCGCTCTAACTGGGGCTGGGAATTGAATCCACAACCCAGGTATGTGCCCTTGACCAGGAATCAAACCTGCAACCCTTCAGTGTACAGGCCAATGCTCTAGCCACTGAGCCACACTGGCCAGGACAAGATGCCTTTACTTTCTATATTTCTCTTTTAAATCCTCACCAGATATGTTTATTGATTTTTTAGAGAGAGGGAGAAAGAGAGAGAGAAACATCGATGTGCCCCAACTAAACCCAGGTATGTGCCCTGACAGGGAATTGAACCCACGACCCTTTGGTGTATGGGACAATGCTCCATCCGAGCCACACCAGCCAGGACCACTTTTGATAGTTCTTATCAATCCTCTCTTTGCTTGGCCCAAAGCGACTGTCCCTCAGAGAAGACATTGGGCCGAGAGCGAAGACATGTGGGTATCACATGAAAGTGTCATCACTCCAACTGCCTCACTTCAGGAGGTGCTGGAAGTGAGAACTTCCCCACACAGGCTGACCTTGCTTCCACCACCATGCTTCATCCCTGACAAAATGGTGTGTGGCACGTTGAGCGACATGAAGCCCTAGAGTGGGGGCCTGGGACCCAGACCGATGTTTCTCACTGTTCTTTTGTCTAGTACCTACAGGTTTTACCAGACCAGAGCAACATCCCCCAATAAAATCAAAGATGGGCCCTGGCCGGTTTGGCTCAGCAGTTAGAGCGTCGGCTGCGGTCCAGAGAGACCTGGGTTCGGTTCCCACTGGGGGAATGTGCCTCGGTTGCAGTTTGTCCCCAGCCCTGGTTGGTTGTGCAGGTGGTGGCCACTCGATGTGTCCCTTTCACATCGATGTTTCTCTCTCTCTCTCTCTCCCTCCCACTCTATCTGAACAAAAGATGGAGAAATGTCCTCGGGTGAGGATAAAAAAAAAAAATCAAAGATGTTTAGACTAAGACGTGTATTTTTCCTGCAAAGTGGGAGACAGGCCTTTTGAAAGGGGAGGTGGGAGGTGGCCTGCCTTCACTCAGCCACATTTTCAGGGCAGATCGGTCTTAGGAAAGAGTACACATCGGATCTGGGAACAAACTCCTTGAAACGCTCTGTGCCCAGGGATCCCGAGGAAAGGCCTTCTCCGGACAGACGTATCATTCCATTAAATTACAATCACTTCTTAAAAAATTTTAAGACAAAGAGCTGCTTTTCTCTTTTTTCTTAACCAAAACATTATAATTTGACTTCAAAAAAGAGAAGAACCTCTAAAGGGTTTTTTTTCTTTTAAGATAATTTATTGTTAAGTGAAGAAGTCACAAAGCAAAATGGAGTGGGACACATGTCAAAGATACATTTAAAAGATTGTGTTTGTCACATACTATCCTGGGTTTCCTAAGGTTCGAAACAGAAGTGTCCAATGAGAAGCGAATCATTCTTTTTTAAAAGGTCTGAATTCGAAAAGAAAATAACGTTTTTTTCTGAAAATACAAATCATCCTTATTACATGAAAGCCATAACGAGAGCCTGAGAAGAAAGACTTTAATTCATAAGTAAACTGTATCTCCCAGGTACACTTAGGAATGTCTGGTTGTGACGAGTGAGTTTCGAAAATCATTGCTTCCGCCTTGCAGACCAACACGGGTCTGTTGATCGATGTCACTTATCTGCCCTGAGTGTCCCATTGTGTCTTCCCACGCTCCCTTTTCTGCCACTGTCTGCCAAGCAGGTTTGAAGAAGAAGGACTAGAAAGAGCTAAAGCTGGTTCCCTAGTGAATAACTTAACAAAATAAAACCTGCTTTTCCATTCGCATTCCACATTCACAGTCGCTCACTTCTACTTACTTTACTGATATAATTCAGATCCTCTCCCCACCTAGAAGGATTTGCCTGAACTTAACCCAATGCCCCTAAACAAATCCCATGTGGACATCTCAGAGCATTGCTGTGGTCAAAGGCCATGTCCTCCAGCCCTTGTCTCTCCTGGCGTGCTGCCCACGACAGTGTCCTGAGCTCACTCAGGTGTCCCCGTTGGCCAGATCAGCGCCTTGGGAATTCTCTTAACATAACTTAAAAATTACATTTACCACTTATCTTACGTGACAAGATTATGAAATTGGACAGAAAAAATTCCATTTTGATCATAAATGCCGTGCAATTTGCTTTTCCAAACACGGGGAGCATTTGTTGCTCTGCATGATTAAGATCACAGGGTCCCAGAGCACCCCTCTGAGGGGCCGCCCGCTGAGCCCCACCCTGGCCAGGTCAGGCTGGCCCAGCTCACAGCAGGTTCCACGGGGGATGCTTGCAACAGTCAGGAGCCCGGCAAACTACACATTGTTAAATCCGAAGAGGACACCAGACACTTTGGCTCTGTAGGCCTCCCATGACTTTAAATGAGCATGATTATCATCACACCTGCTCTCCTCAGAACAAAAGTCCCTGCTGTGGCTCCAGGGTACCCACAGAGCTATCAATGCTGCCTTAGCAGAAATCCCAGAAACAGCAGGAGTCCGAGTTTACAATACACCATAACCCTCGAGCACTTGACATAATTTGGATGTATTCAGAAGAAATATTCACGGTTTGTTCTTTCCAGTACTGGAAGAGAAAAAGCCATCTGCCACTTTCTTCACTGAACAACCTCAGGGATTGGCAGGGAGGAGAAGTAAGGGTTGGGGTGAGGCAGGGCTGGCAGAGGGAGAAGCCAGAGGCAGGCTGGCCCACTGCACCCGCCTGGTCCAGCTGCCGTCCCTGCCTCTGTGGCGGGTTCAGCCAAATTCACCAAGTTTCTTCAGTGCACACTCAACACCATGGGCATCTCCTATGCTAAAATGAACACTTAAAAGAAATGTGTACCATCACAACAGCGTCCAGGTTTTGGAGTTGGACTGATAACCTCAGTCCCTACTTTGACTTCACCTTTTGCTTCATTCACTGGGGGAGGAGGGCGGGGCGATTTCCTGGCCTTTGGTCTCGACCCAAGGCCCTGGCAGAATTCCCCTGCCATGCTAACACAGAGTCCTAGAGCACCTGACCCAGGGTCCCCGGAGAGGACACCCATCCCGATGAATCAGATCACCAGTGATGTCTACATCTGCCTCCTCCCAGGTGGCATCAAGTCCCCGGGGGGGCCCCAGCTCCCACTGTGAGTGAAGTCCCCCCAAGCTTTTTCCTAAGCACTCTTTGAAAACGCCTAAGCACTCGTGTTTTGCCTTATGAAAAAATAGAAAAGTATTTGGAAACCCCAAAATACACATCAGGAGAGTTACAGAAGCCTGCGGAGACGTCACCCAATGCCGAGGGTGCCAGGCGCCTTGCCAGAGCCTCAGAAGCACCCGGGGGGAAGGAACCAGAGGGGAATCCACGGCCCCAAACTCCGCCTTCAGTTGACCCGACCCAACCCAACCCAAGAGGTGAAAACAGGATGAACCTTTCCTTCCTTCCTTTTTTTTTTTTAAAAAAACAAACCCATCTTATTCTGAGGCTGGGGGTTTTTGAGAAGATGATGGAGAGGATTCTAAGCGTTTCAGTGAACAGGAAACAGACAGGGAACGACTCGCTCTGCACACATTGGGCCCATATGGGCTCACAGCTCACTGCTACAGCACCGCTCTCCTCGCGGTGAAGACACCCGGGGCTGATTTCTCCAAACTCACTTTTTCCGAGCCCGAGCCTTGCCCGCCCCCCGCAGCACACTGCCCAATGGGAGAGGCGCTCCCTCCCCCCATTTCCAATCGTGGCCCTTCCCTTTAGCCCAGTCCTCTGACCCTGGGGAGACCTTGCAGCAGCACACTAGAAATACTCTCCTTTGCAAAAACAATTTTTAAAAACCTCTCAATTATCACAAGATGCGTGACATTTTCTCTTCCCCAGGCTGGGCTTAGAGGTATCTCTAGGTTAGATTCCGGGGCGGGAGGGCGGGAGGCGCGGAGCCGGGCCCACGCGGCCTGGGGCAGTCAGCACTCATCCGAGAGGTACTCGCTGCCCAGGAACTCGGTGGCCTCGAGCTCCACGCTGGACAGGAACCTCCTCAGAGTCTTGCGGCTGTTGTAATCCACGGTGGTGGTGTAGACGGTCTTGGGGTACTTGGGGTAGACGATGGTGGTGCTGAGGAAGCGGGTGGGCTTGTGGCGGGGCTCGAAGCGCAGCTCGGCCTTGTAGTTGCGCCACGTGCAGTTGGGGATGCAGGTGACCGTCTGGCTGCAGGAGGCCACCGCCAGGCCCAGGGGCAGGCGGACGTCGTCAATGAAGTGCCGCTCCGAGTCGTACTTGACCGAGGAAGTGTACCTGGGCGGGAGACCAAGGCAGCGTGATGAGCCCTCTGAGCACTGGAGCCCCTACTGTGCAACCTGGGACCTCTGAGGGGTGCAGACTTCAGCTGTGGCCTCTCTAGTCAGAAGCATCAGAGTTAAAGCAGCACTTACTGCCTGGAACCATTCCAAGTGCTTTACTTCCAGGACAATTTAATTGTCCCAACAACTGTGGGAGAGGAAATGGAGGTGCAGAGGTTGAGACCACAGGGGGAGGAAGTAGAGGGGTCTGGGATTGAAATGCAGGGGCAAGATTCCAGGGTTTACCTCGCACTCGCTGCTTCTCCCTGTAGGCAGCAGCCCCTGGACTCTGTGGCATTTACTTAAGCTATGACAGCCTGGTCAAGTCACTGACCTTTCTTCTGAACTTCTCCAAGCCTCAGTTACCTTTCTCTGTAAAAGGCGCCCAATAAGAACTGGGTAGAATGTTCACATGGCAAGTGCCGTCGGTGGTAATTATTATATAACAACTTGAATTCTGCTGCTATACTGGGGTAAACAGTTACGCTGTCCCCTGAAGTGATCAATTAGCTCTTTATTTTTTTTTTTAATTTATTTTTTTAATCCTCACTCGAGGACACTTTTCCATTTTTTGTTCAGATAGAGTGGGAGGGAGAGAGAGGAAGAGAGAAACATCTATGTGAAAGGGACACATTGAGTGGTTGCCACCCACACAACCCCAACCGGGGCCAGAGACAAACTGCAACCGAGGTACGTGCCCTTAGCGGGAACCGAACCCGGGTCTCTCTGGACCACAGGCTGATGCTCTCTAACCACTGAGCCAAACTAGCCAGGGTTCAATGAGCTCTTTAAAGAGAGTATGAAGGAACCCAGAAATCCCGGATACTGGTTCTGAATGCTCAGTGATACCAAGTACTAGTATTTGGTCCACCTTGGCCTTCAGTTTGGAGACCCCTCAAAGCCAGGGACTCTGAGACCTGACCTTATCAATCAAAGCCAAATACAATCTTTTTAAAAATATGTTTTTATTGATTTTTTTTTTTTTTAGAGAGAGAGAGGTAGAGGGAGAGAGAAACATTGGTCAATTGCCTCCTGCACACACCCTGACCAGAGATTGAACCTGCAACCTGGGTATGTGCCCTGACCGGGAATTGAACTGGTGACCTTTTGGTACATGGGATGACTCTCAACCCACTGAGCCACACTGGCCAGAGCGCCAATTACAATCTTGATTGCCATCAAATAAACAAACATCGATATTCCTCAGCAGCTACTTTAATTTTTTTAAAGTCCTTCTTTAGTAATTTGGGAATTAATTTTTTTTATGTAAGCAAAACATTAGTTCGTTTTCCTGTAGAATTATTACAGCCTCAGAAGTACTAAAATATACATGAGCATCACACAGACATGTCTAACGGCACTGCCCCCACGGCTCCTCCACACTGGTCAGCATTCTTTTCAATGAACCAGAGGGAACCGCCTATTCTCCTTGGGCAAGTAGGTAAGAGGCTGGTGAAAGCTAATGTCATGAAGTCATGTCCTCATTTTGTTCAAAATACAAGCTCTGCAGGAATAAAGGGCTGAACTGCTCACCTCCAAAGTGGTGAGCCTCCTTTGTTCCACATCAAAGGGCCCTTTGTGTTAAGGCAACTGAAACTCCAGCTATAAAACCACCAGCTCCCCAAAGTAAAGTTCCTCTCTCTAAAAAGGCCGATCTTGAACAGAGCCTCTCAGTGAATCTCTGCCCCCAGATAATCCTGGATGAGATAAATTCCCAAGGGGAGGATGGTACTTTCCCAGTGAAATTATAACATAAAACAAGGCAACAGCACCTTGAAGCAGGGTTAGGAGGTGGGGTGGGGGCGGGGAAACGGGGACCAGCTTTTGGAAGGAGGAATTAGTTTATTAGAAAATTTTAAACATCTGATGGCCATGGCACATGAGGTACGAAAAGCAAGTTGCAGGACTTCACGTGTAACATGATCTTGTTTTTATTTTTAAAAGCGTGTCTATATATTTAACTGGTTAAATGCAGAAAAAAGATCAAAAAGAAGGTCCACCAAACTATGACTAGTCTTTGGCACACTTTTGTGATTAACTAATTTAAAAAAACCCAAGCATTGATTTCTGGAATAAATAAAAAAAAGAAAAATTTAAAGATAAGATACAATTTTAAAAATAATAACAAAATAAAATACATTCAGAACCTGCTATGCTTACCTTACTTCCTTCAGTGGTAAGGGGTCAAACTCCACTCCTTCGCCGAAAGACAGGGGGCATAACCTCAGCGCGCAGGCGGACGCCAGCGGAGTGGGGAGAGAAGCTGGGTTCTGTGAGGGTGGAGAACACAGTTAGATCACAGGCCAAGCTGAAATCTCCCCCAGAGAAGGTCCTGGCTCTGAGCCTCCCGCTGAGGGCCCCAGTGAGACTTGTGTCCTCCATCCTGGGAATAATGCCGGAGAAGGGCTGACCCACTGCATGGAAAGAGCAATGGACCAGGAGCCCAGAGGTCTGGGTTCAAATCCCCGGCCTATCACGAATGTGCTGTGTGTCCTCACAAGAGTCGCCTCACACGCCCTCGGAGACCTTATCTGCACACCAAAGGGGTGCCCCTTTCCACACTGAGGCTGCGAAAGGCTGAAAAGAGGAAACAAACACAAGCTCAGCAACATCACCATGGCCAGACCCAGTGGCTGCTGCACGTCCTGCAGCAAGGCGGTCAGGAAAGCTCAGTCAACAGGGGCTCCACTAAGCAGAACCCTCAATTATGGTCCCCCAACCCTGTCATTGTCTCGGCAACACTTTAGAAAAGGCCAAAACAAAATAATTCTACCGGGGATATTTTTTTCTGCACTGTAGATTCACTTCCCCCGCCTCCTCTGCCCCTGGGGAGATCAACACCCAACCAAGACGGAGCATCTGCACCCTCGCTGGTAAGGTACACACCAGAAAGTTCTCTGGGTCACTTTCCACTATCCAGAGAACTCGAAGAGCTGAACTGCAGGCCTAAAGGGTCACTGGCTTCCAGTCTGGTCAAAGCTTTGGACCTTCTGACTCATCAAGCAGCTGGGTAAGAGGCAGCTCCGTCCCAGACACAGGTGTGAGCGGACTCGCACCCTGTGTTAACTGGGCAGCGGAGAGCAGCTATTTGGGTACCCGGCTTTACTGGGGACTCTCATTTTCTTTTTTTCTTTTTTTTTATCCTTACCCAAGGACATTTTCTGATATTTTGTTCAGATAGAGTGGAAGGGGGAGAGAGAGAGAGAGACACATCGGCGCGAAAGGGACACATCGAGTGGTTGCCACCCACATGACCCAACCAGGGCCGAGGACAAACTGCAACCCAGCTACGTGCCCTTCGCGGGAACCGAACCCGGGTCTCTCCAGACCGCAGGCCGACGCTCCAACCGCTGAGCCAAACTGGCCAGGGCTGGGGACTCTCATTTCCTTTGCCTAATTTGAGAGAAGGATCCAGGGTGTGCCAGTGGCAGCCCCACCCCCACACCTTCCAGGACAGAGACAGTAACAGACATTTCTAGAAGGTTGGCTCTAAGACACTGATCCCGCTACCTGGCCAGGACAAGGTGTCACTGGAGGTGTGCGCTGGAAATACAAAAGCCAAAAGGGATCGGGTGAGGTCAGGGAGAGGATGAGGGTCCAGCCCCTGAACTTGGGTAGAGAGCTAAGCCTGCTGGGGAGGGGCCGTGGCTGAGAACCAAGGTCAGTGGATGGGGGAGGGGTGAGGTGTGGGCATTGGCTGCCGCAGAGCTTTTGGAAACAGCCCCCAAGTGGTGACAGTGGGCCCTGCTCTGCCCCCAACTGTCTGGCTGCCACACATTCCCCAACAGCATCTTCCAGACAGTCCTGGGCCGCAGGACGACAGTCATAAGAATAGGTGGGTGACTCTCCAACACTCACATTACAGCCTGGGTTCAGGTATCCACACAAGCACTCGGTTCTCTTACCCCTGCTTCTCTGCTCTCCCCCACCCCTGCCCACCCAACAGACACGCCCAGGGTGCAGGCTGGGGTGGAGCAGGGCAGCGGGCATTATGACAAACACATGAACAAGGTGCCACCAGGGAAGGGGGATGAAGCCACAGACTCTAGCATGGCTCTGGGAAGCATCAAGGAGGGGACCAGCTGGGCACTGCAGGAGGCGAGCAGGGCTCTGACAGGCGGAAAAACTGACTGGGTGCTGAGAGAGTAAAGGGGGTGGGCTTGGAGAGAAAGGCCTGCCAGGTGGAGGGAGCAGCATCAGAGGCACCAGCCTGTGCTCAGGGGATTCTGAAGATGGGGCTTAAAGGGCCAGATCCATCGCGAGGGCTCTGAAGGACAAGTCGAAACTAGTGCTGGCTTCCAATGGAGAGGAGAGACTGTACTGATGTCCATGGAGAGGCAGGGCCGTGGGTCAAGAATTCCACGCACTACCAAAGTGTGTGGGTCCTGAAGGAGCAGCGGCTGCCACTACTCCACTCCAGGGGACAGGGCTGTCCATACGCACCCCTAGGGCAGGGCTGGGCTGAGAACCCCACCCTGAGCTTTGACTGCAGGCAGGATGTGGCCTCCCCGGAGCCTTAGGTGAAGGCAGTAAACACCATCACCTGTGCGAGTGCTAAGGCAAAAGAGACGCTTGCCTTTAACTAAAACTTAAAAGAAAATAAAAGGATTCGTTTTTGAAAGTTTCCTTTCACCTAAAGGCCTCCCACACATCATGTGCCAGATAGGGGTTAGGCGGCAGGAGACCAGAGGCTCATGGGGTGACCCTTTTTAAGAGGTCCCTCCAAGGCCAGTAACATAGTCCCCAAAGGCTGGCCCCGTTTGCTCTCCGAATGGGGGAGCTGGGGAGCCAGAGCACACCCCTCTCCCCAAGACCAGCGGAAGGATAAGGCCCTTGGGGGCCAAGGCTGCGGGGGCAAAACCCGGGAGGGAGGGCCAGGTCCGCAGTCCGGGGAAGGACGAGGTTTCCTCTGTGTCCCGGGACCCCCTCAGCCCGCCCGGGCAGGAATGTGGCGGAGCCGCAGCCTTGCAGCCCCGGGGGCCGCCACCCCGAAGGGAGGAGGCGGCGGCTCTCCTCTCCCGGGGCTCCCGCGCCTCCCAGGCGATGACAATTTTCCAGCCACCGGCTCCAGCTGGCCAGGCACTCGCAGCGCTCCCGCCCCGGGCTCCCAGCTCTGGCCACGCCGTCCCGACGGGCGGGTGGCGGCGCCGACAGTGCGCCCCGAAAGGGGCCGCACGACCGGCTGGTGGGCTCCCGGGGCCCGCTGTGGGTGGGATGGAGAAGGAAAGGCCCGAGGGGTGCCACTCACCGGGACCGCGGGGGTCGCTGCCACGTCGGGCTCCAGCGCTCCAGGAGCCGGGGCGCGATCCCCGCCGCCGCCGCCGCCCCCGGCCGCCGCGAGCCCCCAGTGGCTGGGGCTGGGGCTGGGGGGCAGCCCCGAATCCGGGCTGTCCAGGACACCGTCGCCCTTCTTCTTCGTGTCCACGAGCTCGGGCACATCCTGCAGGTTCAGCCGGCCCACCATGGCTCTGCGAGCGGCGGGGCCCGGGCCGGGGCCGCGGACGAGCGAGGGGCGCAGACGCGGGCCGGGGCAGCTGCCCGCCCGGCCGCCCTGCCTGCCCACCGCCCGCGCGCCGTCCGGGTCTGGCCCGCCGCCTCCGGCCCGCCCTCCGGCCCGCCCCGCCCGCCGGGCCGCCCCGCACGGGCCGAGTCGCAGGGCCGGGCGCCAGGGGCCGCTGCGCTCCCGCGGTGAGCCGCCCGCGCTGCGCTCCGCCCGGCCTCCCAGCCGCCCCGAGCCGCGGATCCCAGCGCGCCGGGGGCGCCGGGCGGTCCTCCCGAGGGCCCCGGCCAGCCCCGTCCGGCCCCGTCCGGCCCGCACCCGCGGCAGGTGGACACGGGCCCCGACTCGCCCGGGCCCCCGGCGGCGCTGCCCCTCGCCCTGTCCCGGCAGGGCCCGGCCGGCGCGATGCCTCGAGCCCTGGCGGTCTGGGGAAGCCCGAGCAGCGCCCGGGCCTGCAGAGGCTTGGGAGCCGGAACCCAGCGAGCAAACAACTGGAAAGTATTAATAGTTAATGCACTTCGTATGGCGCTAGCCGCCTCTCGGCTCCGCGGGGCGGGCTCTCAGTCTGCCTCTGGCTCTCATTTCTGCCCCGCAGGAGACAGGGCCTACTCCGCGTATCCTCAGGGGATCCCCGCGGGCACCTCGCTCCCTGGCCTCGCTCCCGAAGAGCCGCTGAGGCCACAGCACGCAGGGGAAGTCTGCCTGCCGTGGGCGGGCGAGGACGGGCCTGCGAGACGGGCTCAGCAGGCTCCCGGGAGCTGAGGGGCCACGGCTCCCTGGTGAGGGCCGCAGCTTTGGCTCATAGGAGTTCCCTTCTAAAAACCAGACGGGGGGGGGGGGGTCTCCCCTCCTTTTGAATTCGACAGAGAGCCTATCTGAGTGGGAACTCGTTTCAGTAGCTGCCAGCTGTAGACCTGGCTGTTCGCACACCTAGTACTTTCTCACCGAGGCCTCCATGAACAGCGGTGAGAATGGGCCGGTCCCGCCCCACCCCCACCAGCCACCCTAACCTGGCTTGTCTTTGTTTTTTAATCCTCAACCGAGGATATTTTTCCATTTATCTTCAGATAGAGTGTAAGGGAGGGAGAGGGGGTTGGGGGGGAGAGAGAGAGAGAAACATCAATGTGAGAGAGACACATCCATTGGTTGTCTCCCCGCGACCTTGACTAGGGCCAAGGACCAAACCGCAATCAAGGTAAGTGCCCTTTGACCGGAATCGAACCCTTGACTCTTCTGTCCGGGGGCTGACGCTCCAACCGCTGAGCCAAACCAGCCAGGGCTAACCTGGGTTTTTTGTTTTTTTTTTTTATCCTCACCTGAAGATACTTTTCCATTTTTTGTACAGATAGAGTGGGAGGAAGAGAGAGGAAGGGAGAGAGAGAGAGAAACATCGACGTGAAGGGACACATCGAGTGACTGCCACCCGCACGACCGACCAGGGCCGGGGACAAACTGCAACCGAAGTACGTGCCCTTAGCGGGAATCGAACCCGGGTCTCTCAGGACCGCAGGCCAACGCTCTAACCGCTCAGCCAAACTGGCCAGGGCTAACCTGGGGTTTTGATGGGTGTCCAGCTAAGAGCCTCAAGCTAGAGCTGCGCCCAGACCTAGCTGGCAGGAGCCAGCTCTAAAGAGGAGTCTGGGGTTAAGGGGCTTCCCCCAGCTAGATAAGAGGTGGGCTTTGTGCATGCCCCACGATGGCAGGCCCGTCTGTGTCCTGGCAAAAACATAGGATACTTGTCCTGCTTGCAGCCTGTTCAAGTCAGAGTTAGAGCAGATAGATGTTAGAGATCTGTTGGCGAAGCTGGGCCTTCCTATCCTCCTCACTTATCATTTTCAGATAAGAAAACAGAGAAGGGACTTGACTTGCTTCAAATCATGTGCAGTTCGTACAAGGCAGCTTGTCTCGGATGATCTCCTCCACAGAGATAAAACCTGGCACCTGTCTGTGTGCTGGCAGGTTGTTCATTCATTTAGGGCCTGCGGGATCAGATTAGAAAGTCACAGTCCTGGATCAATGCTTAGTGCAAGGACATACTGCAAGTAGTAGGTCTTAGAGGTTGGGCTAACTATACAGCTACACCTCCCTACTCCTGTTGATCCCCCTATCTGGACATCACAGGGGAATCAAAGTGCTTCTGGGGTTGTGGAAAGAGTGGTCTGTCGGCAGTAGGAAGACTTGGTGCCCTGGAGGGAATTTGCCCACCAGCAGACCCTGACAGCTCTTCCTAAGCCTGGCCAGGTTGGGAAAGGTATCAGGGAAGATGGCAATTGCTCCAAGGTGGCGGTGGCCTTCTAAGTCATCAGCATGGGAAGAGGTGGAGGACACGACGGAGGAAGGTCAGTTTCAGCCCCCCTCTCCAGGGTGGACTGTGGAGAGCTTGGGAGGCATTTCCACCTGAACCTGCTAAAACCAGAGCCTGAAGGGGGTGCCTGACGGCTCTGCATTGCCACCTTCCGAGGGGATTTGTGAAGGGCTGGGATTGTCCACCTTCTGCCAGAAGATCCAGGGACATCGCAGCTGCCAAGGTGAGTAAGGGGGTATGAAGCTGTGGAGGACAAATCGAATGACATCCTTGAGGCACTCCTTTCTCCCTGGCACCGGGTCATTAAGCAGCTGGCCCGGGCGTTTACATGGGTGTCTTGGCCCTCCGACTGGACCCAAGAAACATCCACACATCGATCTCCATCCCGTGAAAGTTCTGTCTGATCCCCAAGAACAACCTCCCCCCGACTCCAGAGGGCACCTCGGCAATCCTTTTATTAATTTTTTTGTTAGTCCTCACCTGAGGATATTTTTCCATTGATTTTTAGAGAGAGTGGGAGGGGGGAGAGAGTGAGAGAAACATTGATGTGAGACACATCGATTGGTTGCTCCCGCACAACCCTGAATGGGGCAGGGATCGAACCTGCGACCCTTTGGTCTGAGGGCCAATGCTCTAACTACTGATCCAAACTGGCCAGGGCTCGGCAAACCCTTTGAAGAATGTCTCCAGAGGACATCCTCAGACCTCAAGCTGACTGCCAAGGAGCTCCTGAAACATAAATCGATCACCACCGTGGCGGCCTCCTTCCTTACAGAGGAGCCCACCCAGCACGGACGCACACGCAACCTGACTGACACAGCAGCAGAGTGGGGACCATACACACTCCCATGAACCCCTCAGCTGCCCCTCCCCCAATAACCTGCACCCAAGTCTGACCCTCCACGGCTCCCAGAATTCTGTAGAGCCAATCAAAAGATAATGAGGAGAAAACCCAGGTTTGTCCCCTCTTGTCCAGACGGTCATCGAAGAACTCGAAAACAAGCCCGAGCTGACGGGAAGCTCCATGGCAACCAAAGAGCAGGTGGAGAGCCCCCTGGCCCGGCCAGGCCCCCTGCCTGCGCCAGCACCTCTGAGCCGTCCCGGCTCCCCTGGTGGAGATGGACAGAGGGGTTCTCGCAGCGGGGGCCATCCAGCTTCAACCTGCCCAGGTTTGCTCTGGGTGGGAGAGCGGGGGACCTCCTCTGTAGCTAGTGGGAGCCATGCAGCCCCAACCCCGGAGGTCGGCTGTTTCTCAGCCCTGGTGCTTTGGAAGAGCCGCACCGCCGGGGCTCATCCCTGTGCTCCATCGCATTCCAGATCATTTTCCAACAGAAGTATCTTTTTTTATTTTTTTTATTCCTCACCTGAGGATATTTTTCTATTTATCTTCAGATAGAGTGGGAGGAAGAGAGAATGGGAGAGAAAGAGAGAGAGAAAAACATCAACATGAGAGAGACACATCGACCGGTTGCCTTCTGGATTAACCCCGGGCAGGGCAGGGAAGAACCGCAACCCCGGTTTGTGCCTGTGGCCAGAATCGAACCCACGACTCACGGGTCCTTGGGCCAATGCTCTACCACTGAGCCAAACCAGCCAGGGCCCAACAGAATTATCTTTAAAAAACTCTAACCAAAGACCAAGACAACAGATTCCACCTTTACCCCTCCTGGTTGGGCTTGAAGACGGGCCTTTGTCTGAGGAGCAGCTGGGGTGCACCTAGAAATCAGGGGTGAGTTGCCCAAAGAGTAGCCTCTTCCAAAGCAGCCCTTTCAGAGTGGCCGCCGCCCCCCTGCCTGGATCAGAGACCAGTGTCCTCCTCGGACCGGGCTCCTGGCTTCAGGCCTTTCCCAGCAGGCTCCGTGGGACAAAAGATGCCCAGCAATGAGTGCCATCCTGCATCTTTACACCAGATGAAGCTGATGCCTGCACGGGGGTCGAGTCAGACAAGAACAGGGCAGGACCCCCCCACAGCTGCTGCTTATTGTTTGGGAGCAGCCTGTCTGCAGTCAGCGCCGCCAGACCGCGGGTTGAAAACACTGCTGTCTCTGGCCTGCTGGCTCGCAGCCGGTGCCCATGGCCCCTTGCAGTTCGGCCCCCGGGGCCCAGGGCCTGGGGGTCATGACTCAGTGGATTCGCCCTAGTGCCAAATCAAATCTCCCCTTTCCTTCCCGTGCACCCGGGTCACCCAAAGTGCTTTGAAAAACAGAACTTCATTTTCTTTCCTTAAGTATTTTAAGATTAAGGTTATAGTTTTCAAAGAACATTGAAAGGGACCTGTCATATTCAATAAAGGAAGGAACTGAATCACAAAGACGTACTGGGGTCCTGGCCAGCATGATTTAGTTGGTTGGACGTTGTCCCAGGTACCAAAAGGTTGCAGGTTCGATTCCTGGTCAGGGCACGTGCCTGGGTTGCAGGCTCGATCTCCCGTAGGGGGCGTGCAGGAGGCAGCCGATCGCTGCTGTGCTCTCACATCAATGTTTCTCCTTTCTTCTCCCTTCCTCTCTCTCTAAAAATAAAATATAAGATGTACTTGGACGCGACAGAGCCAGCAGGAGTGTGCACTCTGAGTCCCTGGAACTCACAGAGGCGTCATGGATCCGAGAGGGCCAGGGGATGCCGGTGTCCTGGCGTAGCGACTTCAGAGCAAAGTGGGCCTTGGGGGGAAC